ACGGTGTGATGCCTGTTATCTTTAGTTACAGGCGAATGTGTATTTGAGATGCGAAACTGTCTTTGGGGGATGTCAGTCAACGGCGGAGCGGGGACGCCCGAGCGAAAAGCGATGCGGTGAGAGAGAGCAAGGGTAGAGTGTTCAGAGAGGTGAGAGGGAAAGAGAGAGATGCTTTGTAATTACGGTGGCTGATAAATGGAGTCGTGACTCGTTAATCCCCACCAATTACATCCTATGGGGACCGTTCACACCGGATCTATCTCGTATCATTTTTAGATTTTTCGGTTTCGAGTAATTGGTAACGTAATTTCATTCAACGAGACACTCGACTTTTGTTACCACGCGTATTTCAAATACAACTTTGAACAAATATCTTCTAACAATATTATGTAAAATTTGTAACATGTAGGTTTACTTGCTTGTGAAGATTTTAGAATGCGTTTTTGCCGAAACTAAAATTGCTGAAAGCACAATTATGCTTGGGTGGCCTCGCAACGGTCCAAGTCTCGACGATAATGCGAGATATGACGCACTACAGTAGAGTGTGTGAGAAATCCTCGTTGTCTGTCTCCGCACTCGCTAAACGAGCAATTCCAACGACCACCCACTTCACGTTCAGCACGTACAGGTTGTAGATCGGAACGATTGTGAGGCGGATATAGACGAAATGACCAGCGTATATACATCATTTGTCTTAAGAGAACGGATATGGAACGGGACGCGTGGGTGTAACAACGGTGAGCGAAAAGAAAGCCCGGAAACGCATCGGTTAAGTGCTTATCTGCAGAAATATATATGAAGGTGCGAAATGAAAAGTAGATCCATATAAAGAAAATAAAACAGATTACTCGATTGACGTAAAAATTAAATTAAATTTTAGCGGAAGAAAACAGATGAAAACAGATTTTAAATGTACTTATGCTTGGATATTTAAAAAATTATAAATAATTTGATAATATAATTAAAACACAATAATATGTTGAGATATTATAATTTTTGCCGTTGCCCACAATATTCATTACAATTATTAGTAAAACTAAAAATATACTCATTGTTCTGTGAGCAATTATTTGTTTTCTCTTTTATTTATTAAACGGATGAACTCTCTATTACGAGTAATCCGTGGTAAACGTAAATGTAATCAATTTCGTAATTATATCTCGTTCCACTTTGAAACAATAGGGAAGCCAAAATGTCTACAATAATTTTCAACCAATCCACATCCGAGAGAAGTTAGGGAGAAGATGTTTAACATTGAAACTTATGGTTTATCTACCCACGGACAGCAACTAGACAACAGTACATAGATCTTGCAATTAACGCCTCTTGTATACTTCCTTCCTACTCCCTTGCAAGCTTGCTATTAATCGTATCGTCTTGAATACAGAGGGGGAGTATACGTAGGTATAGAGTAGAACTAATACACACAGAGATTACATCGCTTCACTACAAAGACCAGTGTAAGAGCTGTACCACGTGTTTGAAATAATGTTTTTCGGCTGAAAGTGTAAATAATCTCTACTACTAGATTAATTTTTTAAATTACTGAGAAAATTCACCGATGTACTCTACTTGCATATTTTAAATAGTAATATACATTATATGTATTAGCAATATTAATTTATAATAACACAATTTATAATATTCTTACATTAAGAATTAGTGTTATTCACTAAATAAACGTACGTATGCTTCATTGTCTTGAAATATCTATAAAAAGAAATTAAATACATAATAAAATACCTTGTAATCTTAAGAAAATTCTATAAGTTTAAAAAAATATATAATATTTTTTTAAATAAAAAGTAGTTTTTGTATATAAAAACGCAGATGTAAATATTGTTTACGTTTATTATAATTATGATGATAAAACATTTACAAAAGTTTTGCAAAATTTAATGATAGATTGATGTTTCTTTTATTCATTTAACAATCTTAAATAATTGTGACAAAAAATATTTTTGTTGTTTTAACAAAATGCGAAACTTATCTAGTCACAGAATCAACGAAATTATAATAATTTACTGTTAATTCATTGTTATTTTGCGAAGAAAACAGATATTGAGTAAAAAAAACTATGTAAAAAAGCGTGCATGCAAAAGATACAGATTGTGTGCATATGAATAATTATTATCATTCTGTAAAACTCCCGTGACTCGCTGTAGTGGCTTAGCGACCTTGGCTCACGCCATAACATGTCTGACTTTGGAACCCGCTTGGTAGCAACATATCTAGGCAGTTGGCCGGGATGTTCAGGCATGGGCGGAGGCAGGATTGTACACCGGCCCCCCATTCGCTTTCCGGGTGCCACCCTTCTTTTCGAGCTGCCGGCGAGATATCCCTTGCTTCGGGTGCGGCAATCACGCACATGCTTGCGCATGCGCAGGCGTACGGCAACGTCGCACACGGGCGCCTATGATTATGCAAAGACAGGAGGGGATACAAGAGAAACAGTAAATACTATGATACTGCTCCTACAATACTTGTAAATTATAACATATTCAGAACTGCTTATTTTTCTATTAAGCAGTAATATGTCTGTCATATGACACTCTGTTATTTCGTAGGAATCAAGTTTTAGTGGGTTATCAAGTGCGGTTGTTAAAAATAGAAGTATACGGGATTGCCAAGATCCCGTTTGCACAGAAAATTTTTGTACAGATCCCGATTGCACAGACATAGTATAGATTAGTTTAGATTAGATTTTTCGGGGAGGAGGTGCAGGGGGAGGGGCGGAGCCCTTCCCCCGCCCACATATGTACTATATCTGTGTGATATAAACGAAATATTTACTTCGCAAATGTAATAATAACGAGTATGTGTAATCGGGATCTGTAGAAAAGTTTTCTGTGCAAACGGGATCTGTGCAACTGTTGATCTGCGCAAAAGAAATCTGTGCTATCGGTGCCCTGCCGAAATATACGAGTAAATTATATCGGAAAATTAATGTAAAAAATTCATAAATAATTACTTAGTTATTTCCACTGATTTATTTACATAAGTTTATATTTACATAAATAATATTTGTAATTTATATACGCAAAAATCAAAACATTACAAAAGTTTTGTAAGAAAAAAGAATTTGTATTTTGCTGAAAAAATTAGTGTTTGAAACAAATTTATTACTTTGTTTATGAAGAGTTTCGAACTTTCAATTGTCTTTGAAAAAAGACAAGCAATATCCGTGATAGCGTGAGCTATTCTATGTGTTAATCATTATAATAACTTTGTTACAATCGCTGACGAAAATCTTTATCTTATAATACAGTCCATGTACACTTTTTTAACTTGTTTTCTGTACAGTTTAGATTTTGCTTTGAGCTAAAGAGTTATTAAAAACAGAAAAATAAAAAAAAAAACAGCAACGCGCTGCATTACGACCGCAACGTTCGTATAAATATAAGGAGATAGTGTCAAAAGAAGGTAGTGTCAAGATAATAAAAGGAAAGAGTCAAGATTAGACATTTCCTGACAGAATAACAAATAGTTATAACAAATACAAAGAAAAGTCGTGAAAAATATGAAAGCAAAAAGCTATCACACGTAGATAAAACACTATTATACATAGATAAAAAAGCGTCGCATGGACACATGATGGACGTAGTCAAATAAAATAAGATACATACAGGAATACGATTTGGAAACACGACATTATTGTAAATTACGAAACATTTATTTACCTGACGTTGCATCGATTTTTATAATCAATATAAACATAAACATTGAAATGTGTGCCCACTTACGTTCTTATGCTAATATATACAGTTAATAATTATAGCAAAGGAGACATGTATGTATATAATGTCACATTTATGCAATTTTGAAACTCGGACACTTACGTCTTACAGTTTTTCGCTACTTATACTAAAGTTCAATTGTTTTAGAATTAAACATATTTCTTAAGATTCTCTGTTTCTTATATCTATCAGTAATGTTTTGGTATCGTCACAGCTGTTCTGTGCATTAATTGTTTGATTACTACTCATTTAATATAACGTCCGATTCATTCACAATGCAATTATGTCCTAATTATTATTGGTCATTCTTTATTTCCTCACTTTAAAAATATATACTATCACTTTAAACTTCGAATTATTTACAACTTCGAATTATTTACGTATATCTTACGGAAGGATGTGTGTTTTAATGTGGTATTTTTTAAATTAAGTTTTATTATTTTATGTATATTTATATACATGTAAAATGGTTTTCAAAAAAATGATAAAACATTTTGTTTTTACGATAATCAAATCTTTGTTTGCATCAATAATACTTTTTAAAGTAAGTAAATGTAATTACGACGCGTGTTAAAAATTATGTTTAAAATATTATTGATATTACTAATACACAATTATCAATTGTACAACAATGAGCAAACACTTTATTTAAAAATTCAAGGTAAGTCTCTATAACGTATGTGTGAGACATTCATATGAACACTTAGACAGTAACATATATGATATAAACATTGTTTTTCAATCGTGTGTTGCGCAATAAAACTTTTTTTACATTAATATATATACATACATAAAATTGAATTATATTTACACTTCTTGTGAACTAAAATAATCAGGTTTGTTTTCAAGTATATTATTATTATATGAATGTGTGATGCAGATGAATATTTATAATTGAAATTGTGATAATGTTGCTCTGTTGTTCTGCATAAAGCAAGCTCTCTAAAAAAATAGAAAGTTTGGATATAGTTCTGAAAAAATCCTTACAATATATTATAAACATTCATGAAAATAATATTCAAATGACGTGAAATGCGCAAACGTACGTAAACAAATTCGATTCAAATAATATTCAAACAGAAATAATGAAGGTAGATCAGAAACCAAACCTATACATATATAAATATATAAATATATAAATATGTGTACGGTATATATAATTATATATTATATATATACATATAAATGTATATAATAGAATATGTAGAAATATTCATTACATAAATATATGTGAATATACATAATAATCATCTCTACAAGTTGAAAAATCTGTTTTTTTTTTATTCTTCCAAAAGAACTGCAGTCATCTTTGTATTTAAATTTTCATTTTAACTTACTATTTATATTCTAAGACACATATAGCAGTGTTAAAAATTTTTCAATTTAATCTAATTAAATCCAAATGAAATTCTGATTTTCAAAAACCCACACTAAGATTGTGATTCAACCTTTTATGCAAAGTAATATTTAAAATGCGAATAATGAGTGAATATTTTCAGCAACTATATCCAAATCTTTCTTTACGAGTATATAATTTGTCTCTCTCAATGGAACAATCTCTCTTCTCGTCTATAAAAACGCTACCTTCTAATTTAAGGAATTCTATTTACACTTTTTTTTGACCACGAGTTTGTTCGCATGCATGTGTGGAGTTGTCCGACCTAGAATTTTTATCTGTTAAAAATGTTCAACTTTATGTTTTACTGAATGTATGCACGTTTTTCTCTATTATAAACATCATGTATGTATATGTACGTGTACCATATACGCTACATGAAGTTAAACATAATAAAAAATAATTCGACACATATGCATCATATCTAAACGTGAATGCGCATCATATGCATCACGTTTAAAAATAAAACTACACTATGTGTACCGCGTTTTAGTAGTGTACGTCTCAGCAATACATGAACTTAAAGTGTATTTAACTTCAATTGTAATTACCCATAAATTTATTTTAAATTATACACTTCTAAATAATGGAGTTTCACATTTTCCAACTGTAAAATACGTATCGGAAACCTTTGGTCAGCCTTTACTATCATTGTAAACAAGTAATGCAATAACTTGCAACGACTCGAAGTCTTTTTGTTATTCGCACGTCTTAGCGAGGAAAATTTTTTACTTTTTCTCATCAAGCCGTAATAAATTATCGAATTAAATGTGTGAAGGAATAATGAATTGATTCGAAGAATGATGAAAGAAAAAAAAAACAACAATGAACGAAAATTACATCAGTAAATATACTTCCCGTAATGGACGTTATAGAGCCGTGAGTCCGTAGTCGGATTTTATTGCCGATGGTAATACGGGAGCTGGTACTTGCGACAAACCGGGTGGACTGGTAGCCGGAGCAAGAGGGCTAATATTTTCGGAACTTATGTGTCCCAGCGATCCTCCCGTTGGTCCGTCCATCATTCCACCCACGTGATGATGACTCAGCTGCGCTTGGAGATGAGCCAGAGAATGAGGGTGACCTTGAAAGCTCGAATGTACCACACCAACGGGGTGAGGAAGACTCGAAGTGACCCCATGAACCTCGTTCATATCGTGGCCGATACTCGAGTCGAGACTGCTCTCCATACCGCTGGACGGAGAGTTATTGTTGTTTTTCCTTTGGCTGTTGTTATTACCGGTGCTGGACTTCGCTCGCGTCGTCGAGGTCTTCGTCGATTTCGTCGTTGTTGGCGGTGCCTGCCCGTTCGGATTTTTTTTGCGCACGTTCTTTGTGTTTGGCAACTTATGGTCCTTCTTCCATTTCATGCGACGGTTCTGAAACCAGATTTTGATCTGTCTCTCCGACAGGACGAGAGTATGAGCGATCTCGATCCGTCGCCGCCTCGTCAGGTACCTATTGTAATGGAATTCCTTTTCCAATTCGAGTATCTGGTGCCTCGTGTAAGCCGTTCGCTGTCGCTTTGGCTCCATTCCAGGTTGATACGAGCCGTTCGCTGCAAGAAGGAAACAGAAATCGAAATATATTAGTACGACAAGACCGTAGAAATACTTTATTTCGACATCGCAATAGTGTAGACCTCATAATAACACTACCGGACTTATTTCTGGCGATGCTTTCCATTCCCGCTGATTGGTGTGCGCACATATATGCTCGCGAGTCGTGCGTGACACACGCACTCACGAGCTGTGACAAAATTATACATGTAATAATTTTATTCTTAACAAACATAAACACACGTCATTTTATAACATTTATTTGAAACTGCAAAACTCACTAATAAAAAAAAAAAAAGAGAAGAAAGTACATCTTTCAAAATATTTTACAGAAAAATTTAATTAATTTACTGGCATTTAATGTTGCATGTATTGTAAAAGTGAAAACATTTAAATAATAGCTGAAACGGAAAGTTCAGCACGTACAAAAGATCCACGCAGCAGGGAACGCGTTTCCTGCAAACGTGTTGAACAACGTGATAATAGTATCGTTTATGTGCGTTCTCTGAAAGTTTTTTGTAAGACAGATTGTAGATAATTTTACACGCATCTCTATTCACAAAGAGAATGTAAATCAAGACCCTTTATGAAATCCTTTTTTTGTAATAAAAGTAATAAGATTTTAAATTATAGCAGTTTGTCTTACACACACGTGTGTTTACAGAAATATCATATTATACATGAATAGTATGTTTTATGTCTTAAGTGACTTGTCGTGTCACACTTGTTATATTGAATACGTTTTGAGTCGGCTGAAGTGACTTTTGTAATCTGATCAATTCACGAGATACGTTACAAAGACAGAGTGCGCGTATGCAAATTTTACGGAATAAAAAATGCACACTTGCTGCGGCTGTGTTAAAACAACATCATAAAAAAAATGCAAGGACAATTGCAGATCTTTCACAATATTCAGATTTTTGTTTACAATATTCAGTATTTTATAATTGTTTTGTTGATTATTCTTGTGTTGTTAATTATTCAGAATAGAGATGTATGCAATTAACCCTTCGCGAACAGACATGGGTCTTTCAGATCCATTTAAAAATTGCGCATCGGCGTTTCTAGTAAAACTTAGTTTATTTTAACGCTTATATCATCAGAACTACTAGAGATTTTTTAAATTTGGTTTTTGTTTGATCAACGCAGAAACGTTCAAACTTTCGATTCAAAAACAAATTTTCTCGGAGATATTCGATTTTAAAATTACGTGGGTTTCATAGACCCAGTCTGTCTGACTTGTAGATTATTTTGGAGGCCTGTCCGCGAAGAGTTAATTAAAATATTCGAGAAATATTTATAAACTATTTAAATGTAAACGCATGTAAGTATAAATAATAATTATAAAACAAATAACAATTATATTAATTATAAAAATATTCAAAGTGAATGTACTTGAATATATAATCAAGATATTCTCTTTTGATAACACACGAATAGAACAACTAAAACAGACCGAGGAACAGACCGAGAACCAAAAAAAGTTTTCTTTGTTGTGGTACGTTAATGTTAATTTTTGTGAGTCATGATAGTAGCAATTCACGGTGGTCCGTTCATTTCAATAAGAGGAAACATGGGAATCGAGTTCGGTTTAGAATCTGTGCAGACACATTCCATTCGAGCTGACCGTCGGTCTAACGGAGGTCCCTTTTACCTCCGACGTCCGGCAACCGTACCACGACAACCAAAGGGGAGAGATTGCAGTCTCTGACAGCAGGAGGAACATACATACCAAACTTCAGAGATTTCAAATCGCACACGTGATGCATAATAGAAATTGGAATTTACTACATTGTACGTGTATGCGATCTCCGTGATATTTTTATATTTACGCAATAAACGGAATTGGGTACAAATTATTTTTTACCAGACATTGCAATCTCGTCATTATTTTTATAATTAAGTAATTAAGACTAATGAAACTAGAGTTAATCAGATTTTATACATACTTATGCAATTATTTTTACAAAGAAATGTATTTAAATATGCAAAACAATTGCCAAACACGCTATTATTTGAAACATAATTGCGTATACATATGCAAATACACTTCATTAGATGCCTACAGGATTAAGAATTCTCTCCAAACAGAAGTTTTTTACAATTTTTTGCTCCGTCATTTAACGTGTCCGATTTCGAAAATCAAGTCGCGTAAACGCGAGATTCTCTTACTGAACAAATATATAAGTTTCCAACAAAAAGAAATAAAAAACTTGAATAAATAAATTATATATATTATGTTTGCAACAGTTTTACATTTTGCCTGCATCTTGTACGACGGAGTCAAAGGAAATATTCGCAAGCTAGAATGAACAGCACTTTCCAGTCGAGCGGAATAGAAATCTATATGCTAGCTACAAAGCCAGCCTAATTCTAAAGAAGTATTACGTTGCAAAATTCCTACTTTTGGGAATTTTTTTTTTTATAGATACCTTTTCGAACTGGTTCCCGACACGATGTGATACAGATACGACAATCTGTGAAAATGAATGAACACAATACAAATACACTTGCAATTTTTATAGTTTGCGAAACGTTAATTAATATGCTCATACGTTAAGATTGAACATCAAACGTCTTTTAAATCTTTTATGAGGTTAGGAAGTGCGCGTAATATTAATTCTGGAAGTAGTTATGTTCATTAATTATAAAAGAAGAACTACATTCGCGTTAATTGCCTTAATTATAACAACCGGAGAGGGAGGGGGCATTATACCATCACAGGCGTTTGTTCCGAGCCCCCAAGCACTTCACCAACCGTGCACAACGGTGAATGCCTGTGTTCAAAATACGGTGTAGAATCTCTCTATTGCCGAATTTCGAAATTTATTGCCCATAGTGTTGAATTGTGCTCTTTTGACGTTTCTATTCTTATACGGAATATTTGCCAAAGAGAGATATATTAGGTGTAACCAAAACTCATCTATAAAATAAGGTGATTTCAAAAAAACCCGCGCACAGGTGATCACAACACAGCGTACGATAAATTTCAGCCCATAAGTCTTCCGACCGTTTCAAAGCGTGTCACCTTGCACATAATGTATATAATCTGTATCCATTTAAACACACAAACAGATTCTTTCGACAGGTCCGCTTGTGGATGCAGAAAAACGGTGGTTGCATCAAATCCCGTGTCAAAACATAAACATTTCCTCGGACCCATAAATAACCGTGCTTGTTTGTTTTATTATTACAGCAATAATTACTATATGATCGACAAAGTAAGAGAAAACAAATAGATATCGTTCGAACAAAAAACGGTAATTATAATTGGTTTTATGCATTTTAGTATTGTAGAATAAGACAGATTATTTTTTAATAAAAAAAAAAAAAAAATAAAACAAAAACCATATATCGATGTACCATATAATTTTATAATATGTAAGCTCTATATTTGATTATCAAAGCATGTCATAAAAAGCGCAATTATATTATCGGCCGTCGGATGCGTTGTTACGTGACGATTGATTATACCTAACATATATAAGCAAAATATAATTATACGTAATAAAAGTACATCGATAATTGATTGATTGTTAAAAACTAAAACCTAGATTAAAAATTCATTCTATTTTGTTAATCAAGATATGCTTGGTATGCAAATAAAACTTTTCAAAGAAAAAAGTAAATATATTATTATAAACAGTGCAAAAAACTTCAAGAATAAAGAAATAAAATAAGAAATAAAATATTGTATAATGAAAATTTGCAATAAAATAATATATAGACAAAACAATAAAAAAAAAAACTAAAAACTAGAAGATGCGTCTTTATCGAAGAAAATCACAATTACAGTTTAACAAATACGCAAACGACAAATTTACAAATAATGACTCACCGACTCCCGCGACATGTATCTTCTTCATCCAGGGGTAAATAGTGCGATCCCTGTTCTCCTCATCTTCTTCTTCTTCCTCCATCATTCCGGGTGAGCTTTCCAATTGAGCGTCTTCCGTGTCATCCGCGTCCGAACTGTCCTCTATATGATGTTGCTGCTGTTGCTGCGATGTTTGTTGCTGGCTACTTTGTATATGCTGAGACTGCTGAGACAAGGATTGTTGCGCCTGAAGATCCGGCGAGTTGTCTCGATGCAACTGACTCGAGCTGGCCGGACTACAAGCAGTGTTCTCGTGCTGCTGATGATGCTGAAGAGCATCCGATTGTTGCACGTGATTCTGCAATATAGACGGCGACAGAGGAGTGGATCCGATGATGGTTGACGTAGGTACAGACGGCTGTTGTTGCTGCTGACTTTGTATCGACGACGGACACGTGAGCGGCGGCTGCTGGGCTTCCGGCGGCATCGCCAGAGCACCAACCGCGTGATGATGGGAATGTAAACTCGGGTGATGAACCGCATGCACTTGATGATGATGAGGTCCGTAGTAACCACCGTATCCTGGATATCCGCCGTTCAGTTGAACGGCAGAAGTAGTTCCGTAAGGAGTCGACGCCGCTTGATGATGATGTTGAGGGTAACCGTACTGCAATTGGGATTGCGCGTGACTTAGATGATGACCGCCGCTACCGCCTGTGAAAAAGTCTCCGGTCGAAGGTATGTAATTATTCTGACTGTATTCTTCGTTCGGAGGAAACTTCGGATCGACCATTACGGAGGTGGTGGCCAAGTGAGGATTTCCAGCCTGTTGTTGATGTTGATGATGGTACCCACCAGCGGCGGACGGATTCATCAAGAAGGAACTCATGTTTCGCTATACTTTTTTTTTCTTCTCTTGGTAACACACACAACACTCACAATAGTCCGTAACCAACGTTCGCGCAAAAAAAACCCTTCGGGTTTCTCGCTTTTTTATCTCGCTTTCTGCATCAGTTCTTCGGTATGAAACACCATTTCGTGTTAATATTCATTCTCACGAGCTCACACTGCACGACACTGCGCTATGGTCCATAGTCCACACCTCACCCGCCTCCTGCGAAAAGGGGGTGACGTTTTCTCGAAAGGAGGAAAAGAGAGAAAGAAGGAGAGGGAGAAAAAGAGAAAAGAAATGGAAAGAGCGGGGCCACAACGAGTACAGGACTCCCGGTGGACAGCTGCTTATTCTCTCCTCTCCTTCCGCCACTTTCGCGATCCTCCACGACCTCGTTCGCTCCTTCCCGCCCACCGGAGCCCAATTACCATACCACGTGACCACAAAACCGACCAATCGGAGCTGTTCCTACTCCGCGACCATGATGGATAACCACGGCACGCATGCAACACGTGAGTGGCGCCGCGAGAACCACTACGGCAGGTGCAGCAACTTCCAGCTGTACTTCTCTTTCACGAGTGTCATTCGATTTAGAATATATTCTAGTGTAATTTCTTAATTTCTAGGCATATTGTTCATATATGTCTTCCTTTATTAATTAATTACGTGCACTTTTTTTTTTATTTTTCTCCATAAGCTTTCACTTTTCATTCACACTATCAGATCAGATAAGCATCGGTCATATTTACACGAATGCAATTCTGCTCAATTAAATGTTTCAATCAGCGAGTCATCTTTGTTTAAATGGAGAACCACACCGCGCACTTCTGTCACTAACTGATGCGTCACAAAAAGTGTGTAACTACAGTCGCGTGTGAAGAGAAGATGATGTTCGGAGCGCTCCGACGAGAGACCAAGCTGTTTGCTCCGCGTCGGCAGAAACTCGTCTGGCAACTATGGTCCGCTTCAACTCCCTCCAACTCGCCGGCTTGCTGTGAAGCCCCGATGCGGAGAACCGCGTCTCCCTCTTCGCGTCACACGCGTCTTCTCCCGAGTCAACCCCACTCCGCGACGGCATGAGACCAACCCCTGCCACGGAAACAGTGGATCTTGTGCCCTTATGGGGCATACTCGAGGGGTACCTATAATCGTAGAGTCACTCCTACATATTCCCAACCCGCCTCCGTGCTTCTGGAAATCCTTCTTATAGCCAGGGAGTCAATGCGAAGCAATAAGCGTTAATAGGCGTTCTTGATATTGAATACCGTTGGAGGTAATAGCTCAACTAATTCCGAAACTATTTGTTGTAATCAGCGGGGATGTTACTATACAGCCGTCGTCGATAGTGTGCTAAAACATGGTGTTAATTGATCTGCTGCAATTGACGTCGCTCTCTTACAGCGATGGATTTTAGCGCTCGATGATACGTGTGATTAACGAAATACTCATATCGATCGCATTATTCCAAAAAAAAAAAAAAAAAAAACCACGTTTAGTACATAATTACATATTTCTACGCACACATACAAAATAATATTTCAAATATACATAGTTTCAAATTTGAGTTTTGAACGAAAGGATATATGAGCAAGCCAGGGTTTAAAAAAATGTTACATAAGACGAGATCGGTCGAATTGGCTAAATTAATAGTAATAGATCCGCCGATTACACTCTGCGTGTATTAATGCACTGTCTCGGCGTACTCGGTCAAGTACGTCTACTCGCGATCAGCTGCGTGGCATAGAGAATATAAAATGCCGAGTCATTACGCAAAGAGCATACTCACTGTGTTTTGCTTTGGTACGACAATGCAGCACGGTAAATTTAAGTCATGTTGACTCTGCCGTACAACTGATCCGCGCGTAACGCACACACACATAGTCACACGCGGGGAATATAACAGTAATGAATTTTATTGTAAAATGGCATTGCGAGACAATAGAAAGAAAGGCGTGAAACAATTCGTCAAAATCTGTATAATACACGCACACACGTATAAATGAAGAAAAATTTTGCATATTGAGATGAAATACTTGATTAGATGTCACCTATTGAGAACAATGCAAAGAAAATAGAAACGATTCAGAATTGAGTGGTTTAAGAAGAGCGCTAAAACTTGCCGCTCGTTTTTATTAGATATTTTTCTCTCTCTCTCTCTTTCTCTCTTCTTCGAGTTAGTTTTTCGTTTTACGGATATATCGAGGTTTATTTCTATTTTTCTTATGGCCACTTCATGTCGCTCCAAGCAGAAGAGCGAGGCTTTGAGTGGAATCTGGGAGAGTCCAGAGGGGTTGGAGAGGCCCGTTGAATGACGTAGAAGAGACTAGAGGGGGTTGTCTCCTCGTTTTGCGACACAACCTCCTCGTCTTTATCACCGACGACGCGCTCGGGAACTTCTGTCCTTGTCTCTTTCCTCATCCACCGCCATCTTACGGCATCTCTCCGCTTTCGTCGTCTCGCTCCTTTCCTCCAGTTTCTAGCCCTTCTGAGTCTTCGGTGTGCTCTTGTCTTCCGGCGAAACACGATCAATCACTTTTCCCGGTCTGCCGGCATGACACCCCCTTTACACCCACAGCCGAAGAGGCTCTGCCGTGCTCAAAGACAAGTCCTTTCGGCTACTGGACGAACGTGTGAACTTACGAGTAACGATTATCGTGAGATCGCACACATGGATCTGTCGCGTCGCTTTATGAATTTTGTTTGTGGTCTCGCAGAGAGGAAGTCGTCGATGATCTTCGACAGAGTGGATTTACATATTTATACGACTGTGAGGTAAACTTATATAAAAGATTGTTATAATGGTGACATAACGCGCGCGAACATTGAATTGATAATTGAACTTTGTGCTTAATGAGAACGTTTTCAGCACGCATTCTAGAAAATATTTCTAAAAAAGTGAAACGAATATGACAAAAACGAATCTTTTGAGCTCATTTGATAATTGATCTTAAATTATAATGTGCGCTATCTCTTTATCTTTAAAAACCCGCGCTTGGCAGGAATTCTTCGTGGATTCAAGATTTAAAGAGTACAACGAACTTGCATCATGATAATGATTAATGAGAACGAAACAGTTTACGATTTAATATCAATCTTGGCCAAGGCTGGTGCTTATTATTGCCCATTAGTAAAGTTTTAATAACGCAATACGGTGCTCGGACGGGGGTGGAACCGTTGCGATTTATCATTTTCATCGCTTTATTAACGGCGTTTCAGTTATATTCAACTTGTTGATCGCTTATGAAAGAGGAGCATCGTCTCTGATATTGAAGTTGCGCGAATTTGCGTTTCCGGGATTATTTGTAGCCAGATTTCGACTGATTAATTGTCTTAACGGTAAAGACAGAAAACTGCGTAGATACTTCAAGACGAATATCAAGTCGTCTGTATATCAAATATAGAGAAGAACAAAGACATTCCGAGATATTAAAACAATAATATTTAATTTATGATCTATAATTATTATATGTGTAATTATTATATGTAGTACACTGAAGAAGACCCAAATTAGGGTCGAAAACGTTTGTCAAGTTTTTTAAAATAAAGAAGTTTATTGACACGAAGATCTGGTTATTGCCTCGAATTGACCACTTCCCTACTATTGTAAGTTTTCACGAGAAAGAATACTGAAGAATAATATTTAATTTTTAAAATTATTATATAGGAAATATAATTTACATATATAGACGCGTGTACAGATGTTAAACGTAGTCGTGACTTTAAATTGTGAATATTATACAATGGTATTTCCCGAATGAAGATTACAATAACCCGCGCGTTATAACCTCAGGGAGTCATCGATCGTTGCGATTCGTTCCAAATTCGAAACACATTCAAAATATTTACAAACCAATAAAATCCTTCACAATGTGAATCGCGACCGATAAATCTTACGGGAATAATCGTATACGCAGCGTATTTTATACACACACACACACACATACATACACATATATTTCAGATTTTTAAATTTAGAAAATGTGACGGTTTTTCGCGCTCCTTTCCACCTCAAGGTGTTGGCAGCGGATCTGTCCAAGGTGAGAAACATGAGTCTTCGGGGATTCGATTTCGCTGCTGAGTCACGATCTCGAGCTTGCCGACGTGAAAAGGGCTTCTCGTCCCCTTGGGGACATCCAGTATACATCTGATGCCTTAGATATCTCAAACGTTCTTCGAGACTGCTTCTTTTTTTCACACTCGGCTAAACAACGCAAGTGTGTGCTATTTTTGCAATTTTATGATGTTTACAGGATAATAGTTTTTATAGAATAATAATAATACAGAGTCTGTGTATTCTAAATATAAACCTTATAACGTTTATATATCCTGTGTGTATGTGTATGTGAACATATAGTAGTTAAAGTATCAATGCAACGCGTGCGCGCGCGCGCACACACACACACACACACACACACGGAGAGGAATACAATGTGTTGAAAGGGGAAATGTTTTTAAAAAGACTGAAACATACGGCATAACGTGACAATAATTTGGCGGGCGCGTCGATGACGCGTGTCTGATGGCAATGAACATGACATCTTTCATCAAGCAACTGCACAAATGCTCCAAGTTCGACGTCTGCAGCAGTGTGTGAGTGAAAGTGTCAGCTGTAAGTCGTTTCTTGGCTAACAGTAGCCCCACTTACGGGATTGAGAGAAGATGAAGAGTCACTAGAAGCGCGATAATTATCGGCTGGCCATCGCGGCAAAGATGTTAACGCGACCTTCGATCCGTAACCTCGGACAATTACCACCTGACACTGCTGCTTGAAAGCAATTTGCGTATATACAGCGCACTTTTCCAGCTTCCTTGAAAAGATAGCGGAGGATGAAAAAGTGCCTGCGGCCTGCGTTTATGTCGACGGCGCGCGTGAAGAGGAGCAAAAGTGGCTCGTTACTTTTGCACCTCTTTGCAACTCGAAGCGTCGTTAGCGCCAATCCCTCTCGACAATCTTGACACTCTTCCTCAAACAAATCCGGGGTCAGCCAACGACGGATGTGGAATGCGCGGTATTACACGGACGCGCATGCTGCGCGAATAAAAGCACAAAAAAATTGTTTAATGCAATAACGAGTAACAATTTCCGAGAAGTAAGATGCAGATTCGTCATCATTATGCTAATGGCGATAATTTATGCGACAATACATAGTTTATACCGTGACTCTTTTTCTAAGCATATATTAAATGAATACGTGTGTGTTTGATAATTTTTATCTCTTACAAGACATAATTATATTTTCAAAGAGTTCAATATGTCACAAAAAAAAAAAAAATTCTAAAGTAACTTTTCTTGGAAACAATTTTTTTAACGTAAAACAATATTTCTTTGTAAACATTCGATGCGTATCTTCCCGGCATTGTTAATTGTTTTTTATTTGTCGAAGCAGTAGCAGTACTTTTAAATCACGGTGATAATAAATAAAAACGTTTTTATTGTTCTTCTTAGGGTCGCACGCGTATTTTTGTTTTTTGCCATATTTGAAAAAAAAACTGATTAACACTTTTCAGAAAAAAATAATACATTTAGTATTTGTGTTAGCGACGAGGGTAGCAACAAGGTAATAGGTCGTTTACCACCCATGATTCTGACATTATCGTTTGACATCCTTCGTTCTTCTTTTAAAACGATTTTGCAGACACTAGTTCCGACCAAGAATGTCCCGACATTGTTCGAGAAAACCTAGGCAGTACCCGTTCGTCAACGCACAATAGTGTGGGAAATGTACAATCATTAATATCTGTTCTTTTTTATAAGCATTTGAACACTACAGCATTTTAAATAACCTGTTTTGACGGATTGAGAAAAATGTGAAAATTTTTGACGGATATGTTCTCGAAAAAGTATGTCACTAAATACAAAAAAAGCAAAACTACTAAAAAAAACACATGCCAAGTCGAGATTCGCAGCTAGTCTCAAAC